CGGCTTCTCCACCTCCACCGAGGTGCGGACCCGCTCTCCCGCCTCTCGGGACCGGTTGTGCCGCTCCACCCGCCGCATCATTTCCACCTGCTCTGCCGCGTTCCGGGCCTACGGGGGGGCGGGTGCACGGCCTGGTACCGGTACCGGCCACCAGGCCCTTCTGCCTGCCCCAGGTCTCCCCTAGCCCGGGGGGCACCAGTGTCACCCCTGGCCCAGGGGTTGCCCCATCCAGCCCGGGGTCCCCCTCAGCTCCAGGTGTCCCCCTCAGCTGCAGGGTCCCCTTGCCCATCCCAGGGTCACCACTCTGCCCAGGGGTCCCCCCAGGCCCCAGCCTCACCTCCCAGTGGATCCACTTGTACTGGGAGAGGTCGACCTTCTCAAAATCATGGGCTGTCACATCGGGCAGGTTCCTGTAGGGTTGGGATCAGGCAGGGCAGGGAGACCCCCCAGCCACAGCATGGGGTGGCCCTGGGTGACCCCTGTCCCCAGGCAAAGGGCAGTGGTAGGGTCTGAGGGGGGCCAGGCACGCCTGGGGCAGAGGGCAGAGGGCCTCGCAGGGTTGGCACTGCCTGGGTCAATCATTAATGATGGCACAGCCGGACCCTGAGCTGGACTCAAAGGGCAGCACAGCACTACTAGGCTGGAGCTGCCAGAGCTGTGGGGGTGAGGCCCAAGTGCCCCTTCCACCATTAACCGTGGCTGCTGTGGTGAGGGCCACAGCTGCTCACTGGCATCGGCACAGCCGAGGGAACAACCTCCCAGGCACCGTGGGTGTCCCCAGCTGTCCCACACACCACGGCGTATGGCCACGCAGGGACGCCGCTGCCAATCACGGCAGTGGCATGGGGGGTGACAGGGGCTGCAGGGACCATTGGCAGTGATTGTGTGTGCAGAATTAAGGGAATCACCAGTGTCTCGTGCGGGGCCCCCCGGTTGGCAGCGCTGGGCCGGCACCGGCGCAACCGCAGCACCGCAAGCCCTGGGGTGCAGGAGCAGCCCTGGGGCCTGTCCTCGGCCATGGCCA